TCAGCAAATTAAGTCTTATAGTATGTAGCATGATAACGATAATGTACTGTAATATATGAACAGTACACTGCTAAAAGGAAATACGTAATAATGTTAAAATATTCAAGGCGATCTGGAATTCATAAAAGTTTATATTTCAGTTGGGAGAAAAAAAAATGCTTAAAATTCCATGTTTTAAAAAAAATTATCATGGAAATTTTTTAATTAAAATTATGCCAGTCAAGCAGAGTTTAATTTATAAGATTATAAAATAATGCAAAATAAATACTAATAGTAGCTTTTATGTTATCCCATAAAGCTGCTATTAGTATTTAGTTTGCGAGGTTGAGCGACCTCATCAATAGGGTGAAGAAGAGCAACGTCCCGAATAGTGAAATTTTTATGAGAACACCAATGCAAACCATTTCATCATGAATTCGCTATTTATGATTTTAAGAGAAGGGTGCCTAAAATACAGGGGTTGGACAAAAATATGGAAACACCTTTAAAAAAACATGTTTCTTTGCTTAATATGGTGTAGGAAACCCGTTGGCATCCAAAACAGCTTGCAGTCTTCTCGGAATGGATAAATACAGTTCCTGTATGTTTGCCAAGGGAATATTATACCATTCTTCCTGCAAAACGGTGGCAAGTTCAGATAACGATGTTGGCGGTGGATAACGAGAACGCACTTTCCGTTCCAATGTAGACCACAAAGGTTCGATAATATTCAGCTCTGGTGACTGTGGTGGCCAGGGAAGATGGGACAACTCATCCTCGTGCTCAGAAAACCAGTCCTGGACAATGTGGGCTGTGTGAACAGGGGCTTTGTCGTCTTGGAAGACACCATCACCATCGGGGAACAAAGTTTGTACCATGGGATGAACTTGATCGGCCAAAATGTTCACATAAGTCTTGGCAGTCATGTGCCCTGACACAGTTATCATGGGGCTAGCAGAGAACCACGATATGGCTGCCCAAATTATAACAGAACCCCCGCCATGTTTCACTCTGGCAACAAGTAGTCTGTATTATAGGCTTGAGATGGCGTTCTCCAGACGTTAAACTCGGCCAGAAGTGGGAAACAATGTGAAAGAAGACTCGTCAGACCATATTACTCACTTCCACTGCTCTATAGTCCAGGCTTTATGACTTAAACACCACCTTTACCCTGTTACGGGCATTAGCATCACTGATGAGTGGCTTCTCAATTGCAGCACGGCCAGCAATTCCCTGTTTATGAAGCTCCCTTCTAATTGTTTTGGTACTCACAGGGTTCGGTAACACAACATTCATTTCAGCAGTAACTTTTGCAGCTGTGGTCTTCTTATTTTTCGTCACAATTGCCCTTAATGATCGTCTGTCACGATCACTCAGGACACACTTTCGTCCGCGCTGTGATTTAGCAGATGATGTTTTTCCGCTTTTCAAATATGCGGAATAAATCTTCGATACAGTACCTCTTGAAACACTAAACACCTGGGCTACCTTGCTTACGGAAGCACCTACCATACGGGCTCGAACAATTTGCCCACGTTCGAAGTCTGTTAACTCTGACATAATGCAATGACAACCTCACATAACAGTACTCCGACAACAATTGAACTGTTTAGAACATTTACGAAGTTGTATAGGTGGCGTCAGTAGTCAAAAACGCCAGCGCCCCCTACATATTTGATTAAAATCAATCTTTCTTTTCAAACATGCATTTCACAAGGTGTTTCCATATTTTTGTCCATCCACTGTATTTTCGCCCAAGTCACCAATGAAGCCTGATAAATGCGTAACGAGAGAGTTGTCAATATTAAGGGCTCCCACAAATGAGCTAAAATGTATAGTTTAGCATAACAGGCATTTCTGTGGCAATCATTGTTAACATATTGCAGAGGGTGTTTACACGTTTTTAGAACACGCACATTTTGATAAAGAAACTAAAAAAAGCAAATGTTTTGTAAATATATTTCTATATTTCTGACAACATATTACTTGAAATGAAAAATATATATACAAATTTAAAAGTATAAGTACTTTTAAATTTGTTATTCTTTCAAAACATCACATGTAAACAAACTGCGGATTGAAGGATAAGTTTTTATGTTTTCCGAAGATATTCCTATTCCATAACTCAAAAACATTGTCAAATGCATGATATTGAATTTTTGAGTGCGAAATAAGCAACATTATCAATCGGAAAGGTAAGGTAATAACTGAACTGTCAGTTATTATTTAACATAAAATGTCTTAAAAATTAAACCATTGGCAACAAGAGAAAAACCCGCCAACACTGAAATCAAATGCAAAGTATTTAAATACATCTGTAGCGATAAAAAATAAAATAATAAACCAAAATTTGCAATTTAAAAAGCTAAATATCATAATGTTTATCAGTTTTTTCCGAGACATATGGCTCATCACAGAAAAATTTGTAGAACCCTGTATGAAAACTATTTAGCGGGAAACAAATGTACATTGTGAATCTTAATCTTGATGAAGCATGGGTTTACCTAAACGACTGCATTAAAAAAGTCTATTTATTATCGAAAATGATGGGAAAAGGATATAAGGGGTTTATGATTGTAGCAATATACTCTTACACAAGGAACTTAAAAATAAGAACCGTGAAAAAATGAACTCAGCGTACTATCAAGAGAAAATTTACGTCCTATATTTACAGAAGAAATTCTATTTCTTTATCCCAATGACTCTCAAAGAGTGAAAAACTTCGTCAAGACAAAGCAACAAGTCATACTTCGAAAAGCACCACTGCGTTCTTCTAAAAACTTCAGTTTTTCGATGTCTTTCCAACGTCTTCCTGCAAAGTCGCCTGAGGCTTTAGCTGTGGTCTATAGTGCCTTTGGTCTCTTGAAAAGAGCATCTTCTAAGCGCAAATCACCACGATTGCTAGACTCTGGAAAATAGTAAAAGAGGAATGGAAATCAGTACTTCTGGACACTTTATGAAAAGTCTTTCTGTCCTGAAAATCTCGATGCAGACATATGATAATGCAGAAAAAAAGACTAACAGATCTAGTTAAATGGCCTCGAAATCGTTCTAAAAAAGTGTAAATACCCTCTGTATACTGCGATGGTGTTAAATGATCTCTGTTCAATACTTGATCACTTGCTTTTCTACCAGTGGTCCCAAAGGATGTTTAACGTATTTAATAAGTTCTGCACTCAGTACAATTGAGATTATTTTCGGTGCCAGAAGAAATTATCGTGAACTATTAGGTTTCTATGTAAGATCTATTAGGGCAGCTTTCGGCTCAGAGGAAGAGCAATGGATTCGACAGTTCCTCTATTTGCGCTTAAGTAACTGAGTAAACTCGCATCCACGAAAAGGTCCGAAACCAGCAAGCCTTCGGGCCATATTGTGAGTCCTTAACATACACTTATAATCTAACCCGCTCCTACTCCCTTTCAGGAAGTTGAATCAAAAGGACGCCATCATGTTATTGCATATTAGAAGCAAAATAAATGCCATTGCCAGATTAAGAATAATAACTGCTCGCTTTTAAAAGTGGTAGATCAAAAACAGAGCCTCATCTCTAGGATTCCAAGGTGTACCGATTTCCGACGAACATAATGGGATTAAAATTTTACATAGAAAAATAAAAATAATCTTTAAATATATATATATATATATATATATATATATATATATATATATAAAATAAAATCTGAAAAAGCTTTCAGATTTTACATTACACCCAAAAGGGGGTTTTTTTTTAATGTTTTGTGTGTTACCTTTATTTATTAAATATCATGTTCTTCGTACTTAAACCATAAAATTCAAGTCAACAGCAATATCGCAAATTAATTTTAAAATGAGCATTTCTTTAGAATTTCCAATAAACAATCTCGCGCGCTGAAGATAATTATTTATTTTTTTTTCTTCCGTACAGTGTTACCATTCCTCACTTTAAAATCATTGAGTTTGTTAATCAAAAATTCGATAAAGTGTTATAAAATTTGAATTTGATAATAAAAAATTCGGGCTTCAAGATGCCCATATTCGGGTCTAGACGCACGTTATTCAAAATTTGATGGTTCTAGGTACCATTGTTTTGTCACAACGCGAGAAACATACATACATTTATGCAGATTCTTCATTACTTAATTTCTTTAAATATAACACAGGGCTCTATTATTTGGTGGCAACAATTTGAAAAGTGAACTGACATTTATAGTTAACTTACGCAAAATGCCAAAACGAAAATAGTAGCCCTTCTGGGCTAACGTCCTGCGGGCTAACGAAAGGTTTTACGCGTCATGTTTCTGAATTTTATAATTAAAAAGCATGCAGCACGCATATGAGAAATATTTTACACATTTTTACATACGAATTTATATTTTACATATGAAGTTTAGAAGTTTTTCAATATTTCTGGTTGAAAGCCAAATTAAAAGCATTTTTTTTTTCATCCTCATAAACGTTGACTACCATTCCCGTGCCAGACCAGTCTGTTAAGTTTTTTTGTATACGCAACTAAATCCAAAACTTAATTATTAATAACATTTTACTGCATACGCAGTTATAAAATTTGATAAATTATTGCGTTCAAAAAGTAGGAAAGGCCTTTCAGCTATCAGTATTTCATTATTATTTTTTTTTTTTCTTCAGTAATGTTAAGGACGAAAATGTATTGAAACATTTCTATTAACATTTAGCATTTACCTTTCTGAGTATTTTTATACTCATAGCTCACATAAAGACAAAATTTATCTGTTTTCTTTCGACTGAATATTTGCTTTTCTCTTACTAAACCTTTCCACTACGCTATTATTTCTCATAAATTAGAACCATCTGCCCTACGATCAGAGGCGCTTCATGTACATCGAAGCAATGTATTTAATACGACGTGTTTCCCATGAATAGAGAACTATGAAATGAAGATACGGCACTCTATTTCCTTTCCCTTTCTTCTTTTCCTTGACAGAATTTTACGATGATGTTATCGATTGTTGAGGAAAAAATACCCGCCAGATGGCGCAGCGGATAGTTTTGTTTGGAGGTGGAAATTCTCGTGAGAGAGATCCTGTCGCTTAGGCACGGATGAAGCTGATTGTCAACACAATAGCTCACGGAAAACATGCGTCCCAGCGAGAGCCGGAAAAAGTTCATGTTACTGAAGGTGGTACTGTAGGAAATAAAGAAACTTTATTTTCCTGGTAAGTAACTTGATTAAATTATTTCTAGAGGAAGGTACAAATTTTGATTTCTCAGTAATTTCAGGAGAATAATAATTTAAAAAATATCAACTAGTGGAAAAGAAAAACGATTTCACTGTCTGTAAGATGGTTCATAGCATATCGTAATATCTTTGTGACATATTTTCTGTATACAGTATATATTTTTCATCACAGAATAACTGATAAAATTTGTTATTATTTTTTATATTATAATAATAACTTATATAACTTTAATGTAATGGAAGTTAGTTTCATAGTTCTAAATAAGTTTTTTTTAGACAAAATTGAAAGATAGTTCAGTCTGTAAAAATATGAATTTCTATCAAAATACAATTTACTTCAAGAAATGTAAAATACTGAAATATAGAAGAGGCAGTTATGAATTGCGTTTATTTGAAATTCGATAAATCAAAATTTCTTACAAGCTGAAATGAATATCGAAATGCAGAAATCGTAATCATTGTTAACTTTCTCAAAAGTGAAATTTTTGATTACTCAGAATTTATTTGTTATTTATTATTATTTTTTTAAATTCTGTTTATTTCTGTTTTTAATTCGACTGTAATGTAAAAGAATATAACTTGGTTAAAACTTCAAAAGCTTAGGTGAATGTTTTTGCGTTACAAATAGTAAAATAGTAATCTATACAATATTATTTACGATTATTCTGCATATTCTTAGTTTTTATATTTTCTTGTTTTAAGTGTTTTATGAAATATGTTATTTTACACAGAAACTTTTATTAGTAGTACGTCAGCGACAGATACATGCTTGAGTTTTATTTATCATTACAACAGTTTTTCAATAGATTAAAGTTAGAAAATATATTAAGTTTCGCTGCTTGAGGTAATTAGACATTCAATGCCTTTATGCGCTGTTTTTATGCTATTACTTTATTTTATTCAATTGTAATCTTCATGCTCAGGATATTCAAGCGAAATTATTACTTTCGAAACATTTAAAAAACTTATTCATTCTCGTATTAGTTTTTGAATTTGTTTAAGACAGGAAGTAAACAGGGAGAAAAACAATTTTTAAATATGATAACGTCTCGCATGCAGTGAACACTTTTGTCACCAAAGCAATACCTACATGAGTGATTTAAATATGAACACAAGATTAAGATTTGGCCATCTGTTCAGAAGTGTCGAATTAGATTAACCACATCACTGTCTAGGGAAGCAGGACATATCCCATTTTGCAACATTATAAAATTATAAAATACACTTTTTATATGGAACGATATTATAAAATGTACCATGTTCAATCATATTTTTCATAAGCCTCATTTTGTAATTGAAAATCTGTCTTAAAGAAATAATTTTTAGAGAACACTATCAGGTTTTCCTCTTTTAAACCTCCGTCAGTTTTAAACGTTTCCAAACTGAAGTACATACTGTATCTTATCTATGTAAGTGTTATCTTGCATGCTGGATTTCTATGATAAAGTCCCGGAAATTTTATTCGTAACGATTACCATATATTACACATGGACGAAAATTTCTTAATCGAAAAATATTTGTTAAATTGCAAATAAAGTTTTCTGTATTAATTTCCCATCCATTTTCTTAAAAAAAATGCCAGTGATTTGATATGATTATGCTTAATTTTTAGAGTATTGTCATACAGTGATATACAATTCAGTATTTTAAATCTATTGTAGGAGTACTATTGCAGGAGATGTGAATTTTATTTATGCTTCATTTATAGAGTATTTGATCTGACAGCGTCAGTCTAAACATATTTTTTTTTTCATGTTGGTAAACTTGTTTCCGACACTCTTCTTCATTTGATTTCCATCATAAAGAATATTTTGTACTAAAATGTCCTGAGTGTTTCATGACCTCAATATGATTGCAATCAGAGAGAACTTAATTTTTTTTGGAACCTTAACTTCACCAAATTAGACCCGGTGCTTTAGATCAGTGTATTTTCTGAAATATGTGCGGAGGAAGAAGTTTGGGTTTCCCAAGTCCAGTTGGGAGCTGGATCCAAAATCGTGGAGGGGTAACACCAGCAAAATAAATGACTCCAATTCATTAAAAAGTTTTTGGAAAACGGTAAATATTTTATGTATCTTCAGATGACGGCCCTAAAATATTCGGGTGAGAGGGGCTGTCCTCTTCATAAATCCGATACTACCTGCGCAGATGAAATAGCATGGATCTCTTTCAATGTCTTTTAAATCGAACTGTTATAGTTTTCACATTCGATTAATATATATAAATTAAAATCGTTCTACATATTTTTCGTATACGTATATCTAAATTTCTCTCCACGACTGTTTCAATTTTGATTTTATTATTTATGATACGTAAATTAATGGAATATCGTATGTGCTTTGCTTGTGTTTCTACGCCCTTTTGGGTTCAAGGTAAATGCATTTTGGAGGTCTTTTTTGTCACTTGGATGTACGACATTAATACACAGCAGTTTCCCTCAGGTAGTCCTCCACAAAGTTATCCCTTTCTGTAGGCAGATATCCCTGGCGGGCTTTGCCATACTCAATTAACAAAGCACCAACCATTCTAGTCATTGATTTCTTGTTCCCTCCCCCTCCGATAGCTTTCCAAAGAACCGATTCAAGGACTATATTTCCTCTTTTAATTACTTTTAATTATCCGAACATGTGAGTTTAGATTTCTAGAAACAATATGAGTAATCATCACTTTTCCGGGATATAGTTATAGTTAGCATTTAAATGGTTATTAGTGCTCGTCGATTTGGTGAAAAACAATATTTTAAAAACATCCTTAAAACTACATTTCATTATTTTAGGTTGGGGGAACTTTTATTATTTCAAAAATTTAATGTTAAAAAGCATTGAAAATATATCATTATTATGCACATTTGATGTGGAAAAAAGAAGAAAAAATCATTATCTCAGTATACAATTAAACAATTTTAACACAAATTTGTTAATAGTTATGAATTTATTAACCACAGGTACATTATAGTGTAAGTTTAATAGCTGGTATGTGCTTGCACTTTTTTGCACAGAGTGTTGAAGTCTAGCCTCATTGATGTTACTTGCTAGCGTATTTCACATTCGATATTTAATTTATTTTATTTTCGTTGTTACGTAAAGTTGAAAATAAGTTTCCGCTCACATAAAAATTTGTAAAAAAAGGGTTTAAGATCTTTATAGTTTTGCATCTTTATAGTTTTTATAGTGCACCTAAAATCCTTGAAAGAATAAATTCTGGTGTTAACTTTATTTTCAATGTCAAAAATGTTTGCTATGCAGCTACAAATTACAATTTTGTTCTGTCACGCCACTCTGGCTTATAATCATGTTTACCTTTGCTTAGAAAAATATCTGAATTTTAGATATTTGGCTCCCACGTGATATTCAAAAATTTTTTCGAATTTTGACTTGGAATTGTGGAACACCTAGAGGATTTGCATGGAGTCATAGAATCAGCAAGGAATTTAGTTTGAAGACCATTACTTGATTCATAACTCTGCGTTTAAAATAGTTAATATTTCTTCCCTTCCATTTCAAAGTCTTGTTTACAGAAGATATATGCACTCCACAGTTTTCTGTGTGCTGTCACATATCTGTATCAGTGGTTTAATAGTTAAAAACACTTGTTTCTTTCAAGATTCAGCTCAGAATAAAGGAAACTATTTTTTTCAAAATTTTATAGTTTTAGCCATATATATATAGATATGATGTAGGAATTTCCCTTAGGAAAGCTATCATGAAGAAACCTAAACCCATGAATGCTTTTGCTACAATTAGATTATCTTGTTACGTTATTAATACTGAAATGTATTTTCTCCCTTCTTTCTAAGCTTTCGTGGTGTAATTGGAAGCATATTCGGAGCGTTCGATTCCCTGGAAGGGCAATGCACATTTTTCACGTCTCTTGCTTAAAAAAACGACTCATGACTCTAAAAGTTGCGCCCGAACTAAAAAAAATTTTGGAAGATAATTCGTCACCACCAGGATTTGGCGAATGAGTCCCCTAAACCCCAGCGCCTTTTTGAAGGGGGCAGTATATAAGGTATTTTCTCCCTTCTTTCCGCATGTCTTGGTGGTGTAACTGGAAGCATACTCGACGCGTATTCAAGAGCACCAGGGTTCGAGTCCTGGCGAGGGCAATGTACATTTTTCACGTCTCCTGTTTAAAAGAAAACCAATGACTCTACAATACATTAAAAACGTTCGTCTTATAACTGTGTGTTCCCGCCTAAATGATGAATTTGTAGAAACGTTTTCTTCAAAATATTGTGCAATATGTTTCACATTTAAGATTTTGAAAGGAAAGATTTAAACCTTAATATTTAAATAAAAAAGTAATAGAGAGATTAATTTCGAAAAACTGTTTATGCAAATAGATGAACGCTGATGAAGGCAACAGAAAAAATAATCTTTAAAGGCTAAAGAATTAAAGGCGATTAATAGAACATTAGGAAACAACATACGTACACATTATAGAGTTTTGTATTGATCCTTTTATGGAACCAGTTAATCTTTATTCATTCTTCTGTTTTTCTAATGGTGATCTTCGTAGATGTTGAAAGTAAAAATCTCGCTTTCCAAATCTACAGTAGGAAAATATCCAATTAACTTTATCTAATAAAACCCTGTTAAGGAAGTAAAACAAATTATTATTGTGTTAATTAATTAATAAGTTGTATTAATTGTAATTACAATTATTTTTCCTAAATTGTGTTAATTGTAAATTGTAATAAGTAATTATATCCAAATCTGCAGTAGAAAAATATCCAATTAACTGTATGTAATAAAACCCTGTTCAAGAAGTAAAAGAAATTATTATTGTAATTCAAAATTGATGTTTTGTAGTATATTATGTAGCTAGCGTACTACAACCCCGATCAAAGATAGAAAATCAAAATGTGATTAGATAATTAAAACATACATAATTTTAATATAAGTAACCTGATACTGAGTTTAAGAAACATAAAAATTTTGCAAAAGTAAATTAATCTAAATTGAATAATTAAGTTTT